TAAAGAATCCTAACCTTGAGACATGAGGGATACACTAAACTCCTTAAAAAGGTGGGGGGAAATATGGGGTTTAGGGTTTAGAACCTAGGGTTTAGGGTTTGAATTCCTGAAAGGGGGTAGATATAGGGGATTCTATAGGGGAGTATTCTAGGGCTTATTACTGGGAATGCTAGGACTCCAGACTATAGCTCACATACATCCGAGTATAGCCTATTAAGATTTGCTCCCCACTACCTGTTGAGTGCGCGTCCTCGTTGAGGGCTCCAAAACCTACACCCCCATGCTTCAAATCATGCTTGCCTTGCTGCACTACACCTCAGGATCATCACCGCAGGACGCGGTTTACAGTCCTCCTGAAGTAGATGAAATGTGGCTTTGGGTATATTAAAAAAAGATCCCCATATACCCCACATCTACTTCAGGGGGAACTATTTAGGGTTTAGACCCTAATATCACCCAAAATCCTGTATGACCTCATTATAGTAGTTTCCATTTTGTTTGCCATTATCCCTATATAACCCCAAGGGTATAGGGTAACTGATCTGGGCTGCCTCAGGATGCCCTCAAGGTCTCTTGCACGAGGCTTGGACTCCCATAAAGCGGGGTATATGGGGGTTTCCTAAAATTAGGGGTACCTTTGGGGGAAACTACCATTTGTTGTCACAACACAAAAAGGCTAAGGAGAGAATAGCACCAAACGCGTGCGGGTCTAAGCTTGTAAAAGGAACAGTGCAAGGCTTTAGGCGTCTAACTGCCATGGTAACCCTAAACCCTGAGATCCTATTTCTAGTGGCGTCTGGGTCCAGTCGACGCCGGTGGCGGCCCGGCCCTTGCAGTTTGTACAATTCCGGCGCAAGACGGCAGGTGTGGCTGCCAAAGGCTCTGCCCCAACATGTCCCAACATCTACTTGTCTTGGTTCAAAATTAAACGTCAAGGGTGTGGATTGTAGTGTTGTGGGCGTAGGGAATGAATTCAGCGCTTGTTCTGCTCCCCCGATGATGTGGCTCATGCCTTAGCAAGAAGAAACAAAGTACCTCCATCATCTGAAGATGGCAAGTTTCAAAGGGAGGCTAATTTGTGCAGCGGCATGTGCAATTTCAGTCGCGCCTTTGTCTCTACAAAGGAGCCATGTCCCCTAGTAGAAAGTCCATAGCAACAAGCCCCTTAACCCTTGCATTTTTTTGGTTCGCTTCCTTTGGCATCTCGGAACTGGCCACCAATCGCGGCATCCAAAGGTGTTCCGTGTGCCTCACCTGCTACTGCAGCCGCTACGTGCCGCTCACGACATGTTGGAAACAGTGAGTGGCTCGATGAAAGCCCAACCTGGGCTTAGGGATATGTAGGGATAATACCCCGATAATGAAGAATGAAGAACCAACTTTAAAAGAACACGTAACATTAAATGGAGCCTTCGGATGTTTGGTGGTGGCTGCAAGCTTGTAAGGTGTTAGGCTTTAGGCCTAATGAGGGTTCGGTAGCATGACTGTATTTAGCTTAAGAGCCCTAAAGGCCAAAGTACATCAATAGTAGGTTCCTAGGTCGTGCCTCCATACAGGGCTAGGGGTCTGCGGCCGATTATAGTAGGTAAGTAGCACAAGGCCCAGGGTAATAGAGTATAATGATGCTTTTCAAGTTCGGTGACGTTACCGTCGTCCTCTAAAACGTAAGCCCCTCAGTCTCTAATACCCACCCTCACCAGAAACCAGAAACCTTAAACCCTAAACCCTAAATCCTAAACCGCGTTGTACGCAAGGATCTGGGCGGAGGGACTAAAGTGAAGCCTTCAGGAAGATGATGCCAGGACATGCAAAGCTCCGATCCAAACACAGTGATACAATGATTGAGGGTATGTAGAAGAACTTCGAATGAGCCTACGGAATCCCTGAACCCCAGGCGTAGTTGCCTTGTGTTTGCTCCCCGCACCCCTCAACCTGATTCCTAAACCCGAAAGAGGATACCAGCCTAGTCAGACGCTCGTCTACTTCAAGCCCCTCTACATGTAGGCTCTTAACAGCAGCAGGGAGCCCACTCAAGAAAAACGCTTTCTGGAAATCATTCAGACACAGCTTTTTGCTTTGCCCTAGGCATCCAACTCCCCGAGAAGAGGTACTACTTATAGACTACCCTAAACCCTAAACCGCAGTTCTGGACTTTACAGCCCACAGTCAATCTGGTTTATTCGCCTGGATCCCCGGGCTTACGGGCTCGTAGTGTAAAATTTCTGGGGCGCAAGAGACCACAGAAAACACCAAAGCCCTTCAACTTACCTCGCTTGTTGCTAGAAAGCCTTGGCACCAGAGACATCCTCATCATTATTACTATCTCTGGTCCCTGTACTGTTATACTATAAAAATTACTGTTACAACCACTCGCCCTTGGTTCCCCAGTAACTTCTTAATGGTAAGGGCACCCTTTCCTGATGTGCAGCTTCAATACGGAGACCCAAGACAAAAACGGAAAAAGGGAACTACTGGGGCACCTAGCCTACAATAGTAATGACAATAGTAGAACTAATGATAGCAGCAACACTAATAATACTAATAATAATACCATAATACTGACGAATATGAATAAGACAAGTAGTACTAGTAATGCCAACGGTACTAATAGTAGTAGACAGTAGTATCCATAGACGTAATAATCTTAGCAGTAATACTAATAAAACATAAGGACTAATGCCAAAAATGCTAATAATAGTTTGGCCCTAAACCCTAAACCATAGCCAGGTAGCAGAAGCTCAAACCTAGAACACACCAAACCAAAGATCCATACGAAGCCTTTTGCCGTGGCGGAGCCCCGGCTTAGGGTTTTTGGGTTTAGGGTTTAGGGTAGGGGTCCAAGTCTGTAACCCTAAGAGTCCATGCATCTAAATAGCTATTTGGGTGCTAGGGGCTTTGGCACGAGGAATTGTAGCAAAGGTTTTCGGCAAGTATATGATGTCTTTGGGTAATCTTAATATACTTCGGATTTGCGTGGATTTGAGTAATACTGATTACTGCAAAGGTTTTGCAAGAAATGCCTGACGGAGAACTTGGACCTTTAGGGAACGCAGGCATCCGCCCAATCAGTTGCCCCAAAACCGGAACCCCAAACCGCGTTTTGTTTCCGGTCAAGGCTTTTCATATATTACAAGCCCTAACACCACAAAAGTCTACAGAACAATGCAGCCTCCCAAAACAGGGAGACCCCAATACAGACCCCAAAATACAATAAACCCTTACTATGGGGACCCCCAAAAAGGTACCTTCTTGGGTAAGCTCCATATTGCCCCATTCTAAGGCCGTGGAGGGGCCCCAGGGATGCTCGGCTTCACTTCACGGTTTAGGGTTTAGGGTTTAGGGTTTAGGGTAAGGTTGGGATTTGGGATTTGGGCTTGGGGTCTAGGGTTTAGGGTTTGGGGTTTGGGATTTAGGGGGGCAAGGTATTTCATATCCAAACCCTGGTAAACCCCAAATTCTTGCCAAGGCAAGATTTAGAGCAACTAGGCTCCGCGGGTTTAAAGTTTAGGAATCTACGAACCAACGAAGGCACAAGAATGAGCACTAAACACATGCTATGGATATGGAGACCACGCTATTGAAGAGTCGAGCGACCACATTCATTTCCCAACGACTTTTTCAAACGTTCCAACTTTATACACCAAATCCTGAACTCTACAGTTAACCTTAAACCCTTAACCTTGAACGGCTTTTTAGATTCCCCATATACCCCATATTCTATCTACTTAAGGGGGACTATATACCCTAAAGCCTAATCCCTAAAGAGTAGCTTCCATTTTCTTTTCCATTCTCCATATATAACTACCATAAAGCCTTCTCACAGCGTGCCCCTCAAAGAATGCCTGACAAGGGACCGGCTCTTCCTTGCATTTTGCACCTCCGCTGCCGGGCAAAAACAAAAAGGTCATGCCAATTCCCCGTGAAGGATTTAGGAATGTGGAGTTTAGGGTTTAGGGAGGCATGAGAATGATGCAAAACCCACGTTTATCTACAGGGGGTGGAAACAACATTATTCGCCGGGCCCAAAAACAAACAACCGGAAACCATGAATCCCTAAATCTGTCTAGCAAGTGCGGAGCCAACCAGACCTATAAACAAGTTCCATTGGCAATAACAATGGGGTGGCATTACAAAAGCTCCGTCCCCAAAAGTTCAAAAACATCCCGATTTCGATAGACTATCCGTATTACTACTACTACTCTTCCTACTACCACGACGACGTCAACAACAACAACAACAACAACAACAACAACAACAACGACAACAACAACAACAACGACAACAACAACAACGACGAC